AGGGCACTTCACTCCCTCCCTTCCTCCCTCCCAGCCAGAGTGAAGGTAGTTTTAGGCTTAGTTTTTATCTTATAAAATGCAGCAGACTAGACTTAGCAGAATATAATTTGCATTGCTGGAACCCTTGTAAGATAGTGATTAATTTGAGTATAAACATCGTGATTAATTTGAGTATAAACATCACATAGTTTGCACAAGAGATAAGTTTTTTATCTAGTTTTGTACAAAGCGTGTACAGTAATGTTGCTCAAAATTATGGTTTTTTAACATTTAATTTACATTTAATATTTGTTTGTTTTAAGTTTCTAGCAGTCCATGGTGCTGTAGAGATACGGGAGGTGTATAATTAGTGGGTCAGGGGTGTATTGTTGAATTATTATTACCTGACCTTGGTTGGTCCAGCAAAACGGATAATCCAGCAAGGCTTTGGAACCAAGGGTGCCGGAAAATTGGTGGTGGACCTGTACACTAGAATCGTTAATAGTTAAACAAGGATCTCGCACAACGTCAGCACATTGGGTTATATAATCCAAGGTCACTGCACCGCTTTCTCGTTCAAACTAACTGCCGTAAACAAAAAAACACTCGACGGGTCGACAGATAACAAAAGACCATAACAATGCGCGCTGTCCACTCTCCTATAACTCGCGAAAGTGGTAATGAAATTTGCTCTTCTTGAGAGGCTGGAAATTTAAGTGACGCGAAACATATGAATCGCAATTCTAAAACTCGCTAAACTTGAGATCCTACTGTATTTAACTGCTTATCTGAACAGTTTATAGAAAATCAGTTGATGTTATGTTATTACTGCACTTTAACAACTAAGGTCTTTAAGTATATAACAAAGTTATTAAAAGAATATTACATCAACAATAAACAAAAATTAAACAGAACTCTGGGTTGAAAATCAGACATATAAGTCTGGTTGTCAACAACTGTTATCACTGAGATGATTATTATTTCCTGTAAAGTGTTATATCTAAGTAACCACAGAATTTGTCTTATGAATAAAGAAAACTGTACAATGTACAGTACTATACAGATGAAAATAGAACAAATAACTGTAGGGGTGTATTGTATGTGGGAGATGAGAGTGATCTGGGAGCAGCTTGTGGAGGGGTGGGTGGCTGGCTGGCGCTCTCCCCCAAGATTCTTTTAACACTTCACTATGCAATTTTACCACAATTGTCATATAATTTAGGATCATTTGGTGTCAGGTTGATATAGTATTATCCTAAAAGAATCAACTTCCTGAAAAAAGAATCCCACATTTAAAACCACAAGTCATTTGTTTACAAAGAGCAAACAACTGATTGGCTTTCCACAATATCTATCTTCGACACTTAGTAAATTAGTACAGTACAGTTGTGTATTTATCACCACTTAATAAATACAATTGTAGTGTATTGATCACCACTTAAATAATATTGTACAGTTAACCCTCACTTTACGCGGTCCCGCATTCCGCGTTTACGCGGTGCCTTGCCAGAACCTCACGTGCTCACATTACGCGGTACGTGAACCCCATTACGCGGAGAGTGTCCGGCACGACGCTATTTTTAGATTCGCGCCACCCGCCCGCTTGCCTGCCTGTGCTCCTCGCCTCTCCCTCCTCCTCCCTCCGCTTGGGCAAGCGGCGCGGTAAGGTTGCGCAGTGTGTCTTTGTTGCGTTATCACTGACGTCATATGACGTATCGGACCTGTGATTGGCCATGCATCCCTACCCCCCTCTGCTGCTAGCTGTAATTGGCTTAAAGTATTATGACGTGTCCACCCGGGGAAGGGAGGGAGGGAGGAAAGACGACGCTTGACCTAGCCGCGGCAGTTTCATCCCTCAAGGCCACACAGTGTAAACGCGCATCCATTGTTCCGTAAAATGGCTTCCGCCGGACCACCACCCCTAGAGAGAAACCTTTCCTTACCTGGACCCAGCGGCACTAAGCCAAAGAAGACACGACGTTCCTTAAGCTACGAGGTGAAGTATACCATCATCCAAGAGTTGGAGAAAGGAACAAGGCAGGTTGATTTGGTGCGCCAGCATGGTGTGAATGAATCTACGATTCGAACAATAAAGAAGGATGCAGCCAAGATAAAGGAGCACATGAAGATCACAAAGTCTACAGGTGCTTCTATGATCAAGTATTTTCACAATCAGGTGCTTCTCAAGACAGAAAAATTACTTGTGAGCTACTTGGTGCGTCAGGCGCGACGGAACATGGCCGTCGACACGCGCTCTGTTAAGGACTACGCACGTGAACTGTACATCGCAGTGGCACGAAAGATGGGAATTACAGAGCCCAAACCCTTTAATGCTTCCTCTGGGTGGTTACAGAGGTTTAAGATCCGGAACAAGATCAGCAATATAAACATTGGTGGTGAAGAAGCGAGTGCTGACCGTGCTGCGGCTCGGGAATTTCCTCCGTTTTTACGTGAGATTATGGAGGAAGGACAGTACAGTGACGACCAGGTGTTTAACATGGACGAATCTGGTCTTATCTGGAAAAAGCTACCTTCCAAGTCCTTCGTTGTAAAGAATGCCAGCAAGATTCGGGGCCGGAAGATGCAGAAGGAACGCATCACCGTCCTGTTTACCACCAATGCCTCCGGTACCTGTAAGCTCAAGTTATCGGTGATCCACACAGCACGCAAGCCGCATGCCTACAAAACCATGGACATGACCAAGCTAAATGTCCACTGGCTGACCGCACGTAAGGCGTGGATGTTCTCTACACTGTCCATCTCCTGGTTTGATGACTGTTTTGTTCCCGATGTAAAAAAATTCTGTGAGCGACAGAATGTGCCATTCAATATTTTGTTGCTGCTGGACAACGCACCAGGACACTCGCCCCTACTGTTAGATCGTCACCCCAACGTAAAAGTGGTCTTCCTTCCTCCCAACACTACGTCTATATTACAGCCCATGGACCAAGAGTTAATCTGTAATGTAAAAGCTGCATTCTCAACAAAAAAATTCCAGCTCCTGAACGACTAAACCAACACCAGGGAAGAGTTGCGTAACCTGAGTGACACCACCACCGATAGCAAGAGCGAAGAAGATGAGGATCAACAGTTAGAACAGCAAAAAATACTGTTCAAACAATTCTGGAGAGTATTTAACATCAAGAAAGCTGTGGACTTCTTGGTGGAGTCATGGGATCAGCTGTCTATTGCTACAATCCGTCACGCACGGAGGCATGTGTTGCATGGAATACCAGGTGAGAGGAGGAGTCAATCTGTGACTGGTGAGGTTCAGAATGTTTCAGTAGCAGTGGACCTTGCCAGAGAAGGTGGGCAGACTGTTTCAGTTCCAGGCTTCTCCGAGACCACCAACGACGACATCCTGGAGGTGATCAGAGATCCTAAGTGACTGCCGACGAGATGTTGGAAGAAGAACACGTCAGTGAAGAGGAGGAAGAAGGTGCGTCATTCTCCGAAGAACACAGTTTAACTCATAGTGATATTAAGGGTGCCATGGAGTGTGCAGAGAAAATGAAGTCCTTCCTTTCCTGCGACAATGACGATGACCGCTATGAAGTCTTCCATACCCGGCTGGTGCAGGCTATGGAGCCGTACATCAAGGTGTATCACGACAACATCAACACCAGCCGTCAGCAAAGCATAACAAATTTCTTCGCCCGCAACCCACCACAGCCAGCCCAAGCCAGTGATAGTGAAGATGACTTTGAGGGATTTGTCAGAGAAGCCCTGACAACTGTAAGTGACAGTGATGGTGCTTCACCTAGTAATGGTGATTCACCTGAGGGCCAGTAATCTGCCCTCTGCCTCGGAACCAGCCTCCATCCCCGTATGCCGACCCATCTCTTCTACTACCGTAAGTGTTCCACCTAAGTTTTAGTTTTTCTAACCTAACCTTTATTTTTCCTATGTTAACCTTTATTTTTCCTAACCTAACCTTTATTTTTCCTATGTTAACCTTTATTTTTCCTAACCTAACCTCTTCTATATTACTTGTTTTTTCATACCATCATAAAGTTAAGATAAAATTTTTACTACAACATAGTTGTGTGTCGTCAAAAAGTGGAGTTTGGGGGTCGGCCCGGACTCCATTTCAATTAATCCCATATGTTATGTTATTCACTTTACGCGTTTCTCACTTTACGCGGGACCCTGCGGGTTACATTAACCGCGTAAAGTGAGGGTTGACTGTATTCGGTATGTTACAGTGACCCCTCTTGTAAGCTGGTCTACAGAAAGCTCTCACACAAATGTATCTTGAGTATATAACCTTCTGATACAGCTTATCCTTTTATTTTCATGTATTATATTGCAAATTACATACAGTATTGTATTTTTTCTCTATTACTGAAGATGTTATATTAGTCATGGTGAACCATAAGAGGCCAATCATATGAGGTTATAATACTGAATCAATAAATGTGGCAACACCTGATCAGCCCCAGCCTGCTTGCATTTTCAAGTGTCTTAGTTCTCAGTAGGCCTATAGCAAATCTGATTAGACCACTGTACAGTATTCAGTAAATGTGGTTCATTTCAGCAGATTTTTAAAAATTAATCTTCCCCATTTCTTAAATTTTATAGTATTTTTGGTGACCAAAGCATATCAGAGTCAAAACAAAGCAAATTCCGATATATTGAAGTCCAATTTATCGAGGTTTTACTGTATTTAATTGACCAAATTTTTAAATAAACTTCAGGATTATTCTAACTTAATTTGAATTGTTTTCACAGATTATGGTATTTTAGACTCTCAGAAAAGTTTTCCAAGCACACAGAAACATTCTGGGGATGTGGGCGAGTGTCTGTCTGTGTAAAATGCGTAGTTTATGCTCTGGGAATCTTTTTCCCAGTACTGTACAGCTGTAATGGGGAAAAAATTCCGGGGATAATGGATTTTTCAAGGTTTGAGAAAGCTGTCTAGTTACCCAGAAATTTCTGATCCCAGAAGTACTCTGCACTAATTGTTCTGGTTAATGCGGATATCACTATCTGTATATCATTTAATAACTTCGAAAGTATTTAATCTGTACCTTTTTTCGCAGCCCAAGAGGAGAAAATGGCAGTTAATGCTCCGATACCATTCCGGAGTATCTTTTATCGAGGATATGGTGGATGCGATGGTGAATGCAATGAACATATATTTAACAGAATTGTAAATGGTAAGTCACATACTGTAGCTGGTTTTGTTTTAGGGAATTGGATTTCATAGTCTTTTAATACAACAATTGTTTTAGCAGCAGATTGGTTATTGCACTATTTTATTGCCTGTATTCATTCCTCAGGCTTATAAGTCAGTTTCTTATAAAGGGAGTCCTTGTTATTCAAATGGCTTCTGTTCCTAAACATTCAAACATATAACAATTATGTAAATAACAGCAATTTTTCCAAAATACTATAGTCCATCTCCAACCATACGAGTTAGGGTCCTGAAAAAACACATGGTTAGTTTCACGGCAATGGATAACACTCATCAGATCCTAACTAAGTTGTCTTTTCCTTCACTTAACAATACCTGTTTAGTACAGGGGGTCCTTGTTATCTGTGGTTAATTGGGACCAGAAAAATGCCTCTGATAATGAATCCACTTATAATGGGGAATTACTCCCATAAGAAATACAGTGGGGTATGCTATAACGAACGGATCCTACTACGAATATTCCTATAACGAACGGTTTTACCTATAAAATTGAGAATGCTATAATGAACGCAACTCCTACAACGAACGCGGATGAATACCGGACTATTTCGCCTGGCGCATGAATATTGTTGTACCGCGACCCACAACAAGAGCGTCAGGCGCCATCTTTGTCTCATTGTGTAGCCAGTGCACCACTGTTATTGTTGAAATTTCGTCTTTTTATGTGGAAATTCGCGTTATTTGTATAACTATTTTGTTATACAAGTATACAATTGTAACAATGAATCGTCCAAAGCGAGTGAGAAAGCTAATAACCCTTGAAACTAAGAAAGAAATTATAAAGAAACGTGAGAATGGAAGAAGCATTGCGAAACTTAGTGATGAATATGGGATGGCTAAATCGACTATATGTACGATTTTGAAGAATAAAGAGGAGTTAAAAACTGTGCAAGTGGCTAAGGGAATCTTTAGACTTAGCAAAGCAAGGTGTAATGTGATTGAAGAGATGGAAAATTTACTCTTAGTGTGGATATAGGAGAAAGAAATGGCAGGTGGTAACATTAGTGAAGCTATAATTTGTGAGAAGGCTAAACAATTGTTTGAGGACCTTAAAGCCAAGACTCCCAGTGGAAGTGATAGTGATGTGCCAGTGTTTAGGGGTACCTGCATGCTGAATAACACTAAGGTAAGATAAAGTACCGTATTTTTTACATTTTCCACAGAATTTTTTCAGTGTTAAGTGGTTGTATTTGGGGGCCTGGAACGGATTAATCCTATAACGAACGAGGTTCTGGAACCAATTACGTTCGTTGTAGCATACCCCACTGTAATGGAAATAGGCCAAATTGGGGCCATGACATTATACATGACACTAAAAAAAATTTAATGATATATTTTAACAATTATTTACCTTAGAAACATTTGTTAAACATTAGATAACACATTATTTTAAGAAATTATTTAAGTTTATAAGTTCTCTAACATCCTTAAAGTTCATTGGGGTCGGTGCGTTGAGGCAACGTAGTTTTTGCCACCATTGCTGGGTGGTTCATTGAGACAAAATTCTTATTACAGGTATAATGTTTTAAAAAGCCGTTTTTTCTAAAAACCAGTTTCTGTGATATGACCCAGAATGCGACGCTTAGCTTTAACCTAGGTATGTTAATGCCTAGCAATAACTTGCCAGGCCAACATACAGGCAATTAAAACATCTAATAATTACTTAATAAGTAATATTAGGAGGACACGTCGCTACCTGGCATTTAATTGCAATTGTCGAAACCCCCTCCTTCACCCCCCATCGCAAGCACTGCCACCTTCATCTCTTGCCTTAGAGCGAGCAGTAAATAAAAGTTGACTCGAGGGGTGGAGATGGGTGGGTTATCAGCGATGCATTCTGGGTCATATCACAGAAACTGGTTTTTAGAAAAAAAATGGCTTTTTGTTCAATCCCAGAATGCGACGCTTAGCTTTGAATACCCGGGCAGGAGGTGGAGAGGGAGGTGACTTGCATACAAGGCTCTGCTAACTTAGGTCCAAATGTTAATTTACATATCTCAGTTAGGATACTCACTTTATTATGGTGATGAAGATCTCCAAAAGCCCATTTCCTTGATCTAACTGAGGCTCATATGCCGCAGAAAGGCCACAGACCCTGCGTATTTCCTCGTGTTATGTGCCAAAAATTTCTTGCCAGAGTCCGCTTGATTCACTAATTGAGATAAAGATTTTGTCATTTGACTAGAAGACAATTTCTTACCATCCCTGGATGAGAAAACATAGGGGCCTCGATTAGGGAATCTGGATAACCATTCCTGAAGATTTTTAACTGGGCACAATATATGAGGAACCCTTGTCTCATCCATTAGGCATTTTATCCTAATAGGTTGAGCTTGGAAATCTTCCCTTTCATTTTTTCTTAGGATCTCCGTAGGAAAAAGGGTAACATCCTACTCAGAAAATACCAATAATGATTAATTATTGGAAATTGAAATCAGTTCACTTATTCTCATACCTGTTGCTAATGCTAGAAGGAAGGCTGCCTTCTGGAGTAATTTATCCTTGTTCGGATTTATATTGTAATTAGGCCCCTTAAGAAATTTAGTAATTTTTTACAGAGACCAAGGTGGGATTCTCTTAGGCCGAGGGGGTCTCTGAATAATAAAGTACAATCTTAGCATTTAATAAATCCTTGGGTTCAAAGTAATATTAAAACCCCAAGCAAGAGGGTCAACCAATGCTGATTTATAAGATGCAATTGTCGATCCTTGAAGGCCTTTAACTCTGAACTGAAATTCTAAAAATTCTAACAACTGTTTCCGACAATGATTCTGGAGTTGTTAACTTAATAAATTGCCGAAAAAGATTCCAAGCTTTCTCATTTTGCATAGAAGTTTGAGGTCTATGACCTGCTAATGCTTGGTGAGCTATATTTGGATTACCCAACAACCTATTTAAACTCCTTTTGAGAAACTCCAAGCGTGAAGTGCCAAGGATATCTCGAATTGAGAATGTAGTTCCTGGTATAGACATCCTTGTTGCAATTGTAGCGGATTCGGACACCAGTCCAACAGATCCAGGCACCAAGGTTGTGTGATCCAATATACAGGTTGTACCTCTAGTCCGACAACCTCGGGACCTGACCGGTGCCGGACCATGGAAATTCACCCTTTTCCTGGATAGAGTGTGACTTGTGCTTACGCTTGGAAGCACTAGCACCACTTTCTCTGCTTCATGGTCTCTTTGAAGACATATTGAAGGGTTAAATTTCGTACAGTAGCTTCTCAAATTTCGCAAGTTTTTAATTCGACTTTTTTTGAACAAAAAAGAAAAACAAATTAAAAATTTTGACGGCGGAAACTTGAATTTCGACGGGATTGAACGGCCCTCCAACGTTCAGACGACGTGCACAATTGTGTAAACAGCGTCATTTCTCTTATGTACAAAAGATTCATTATTGTTTATTACTGAAAGTCTTTTTGATTGAATTAATGTTTGTGTGCAAAATGAGCAATACAATTCATTAATAATGCGTAGAATATTAACACACGAGGAAATGAGACAGCATTGTTTTTGTTGATTAAAAACCAGTGACTGACTGGTTCTACATATAAAACTGAAGAAAATAAGACTGGTTGTAGCTGTGGTAAAATTAATATGGTTGTTTTAAGTGATGTTATTTAATGTTAATAAATGGAACAAAAGAAGTAGCTAACGATAATGGTAAAGAAAAATAGAGAGATCGCGTATGTAAGTGCGCACACGTGAAAACATATCGTCATTACTTTAAAATAAGAATATGAAAGCAACACTTATTTACTGTTCATATATATTTTAATTAATGTTTCTGAATTTGTTTTTATTGAATTACTGTTTGTGTGTGCAAAATGAACAATACAATTTATTAATAATACGTAGAATATTAAAACACACGAGGAGACAAGACGGCTGCCAGCATTGTTTTTGTTAAAGCTTACAAAACCAGTGACTGATTGGTTCTACATATAAAACTGAAGAAAATAAGTCCCTGATTGTAGCTGTAGTAAAATTAATGTAAAAAAAATTAATATGGTTGTTTGAAGTAATGTTATTTAATGTTAATAAATGGAACAATATAAGTAGCCAACCACTAATGGTAAAAAAAAAGTGAGAATGCGCACATGTAAGTGCGCACATGTGAAAACATATCGTCATTGCTCTACATAAGAATATGAAAGCAACACTTATTTACTGCTCATATATATTGAAGGGTTAAATGTTGTACTCTGTATAGACAAGCAGAGAGAGAGAGAGAGAGCAGCCGAACTGCTGGATGTAAACAAACCTTAATTTCACGCGGCTTTGTTATTGTTGTTTTTTACGGGGATTAGCCCACCCGGGCATAGGTCACTGACCCACATTGGGGCCTGAGGGGCAAAAATTTAATACACCTGTAATAATGATTCAGCTAAGTTTAAAAAAAAAAAACCCCAAAAAAAAACCACCTGCCTATCTACCTATTGGGCAAACTAAAATTGTTCCGGACCACAGAATGCCAGACTAGAGAGGTACAACCTGTAGTACAATTAAGAGGACCTTGCCTTGGAAGGATCTGAGTTTGTGAACCACTTGGGCAATATTTTCACAGGTGGGAACAGATTGATTGAATTCCAAAGGTTCCAATCTAAGAATAGTGCATTTCCTAAAAGATTCGACCTCTCCAGAGATACATAAAGTTGCATTTGTAATTTTTAGGGAGGCAGAGAGATCTATCTTTGGAGTTCCAAACTTCTTCACTAGACTCTTGAACTGTGATACCTTTAGGGACCATTCTGTTTCTGTCGATACTGGCCGGAGACTGGACAGTGCATCTGCCCAATTGTTTTGTACTCCCAGTATATAAGTTGCTTTGAGGTAAAGTGTTTGTGTTACACAAACACTGAAGGTTTTTTCTGACAGTTGTAGAAGGGGTCAAGACCTGGTTGAGCCTTGGTGATTGAGACAAAACACCGCCCCCCCCCTTTTTTTTTCTATGGCAAAAAG